ACGCTTCATGAGAGCTTGCGGGTGCTTGTGGGCGCCAGTGGTGCGGGTGCTCTCTTGGTTTGGTGGGCGTATGTTGGCGCTTGTGTTGCATGAGTGCTTGTCGGCGCATGCGGGCGCTTGTGGTCGCCAGTATTGTGAGTGTGGGTGCTTGTGGGCGGAAGTGTCGCAGGCGTTCCTTTCATGAGTGCTAGTGGGCGCTTGTGGGCGGCCGGGGTGTGTGCTTTTCGCGCTCGCTTGGTGGGCTCTTGGGGGCGCAGCGCCTTCAACCGCGCATGTGTCCTTCCAGCGCTTTCAGCTGGCGGGGGTGCTTGTGGGTTGTGGGCGCTTCCTTCATGGGCTCTTCTGGGCGGGCGCTCTCTTGGCCGCTTGTTCTCTTGCGGGCGCTTGTGGGTGGAATTGTTGCGGGTGTGCTTGCCGGCGTTTGTTGGCGCTTGCGGGGGCTTGTAAGCGGCAACGTTGTGGGTACGGGCGGCGTGTTGCGGGTGCTTTGTCTGGGCGCTTGTGGCAGGCGCTTGTGGGCGCTTGTGGGCGCCAGTCAGTCTGGGTGGGTCATGAACGCATGCGGGCGGAAGTCTTGGCGGTGTGGTAGCGGTTTGCGCCCTTGTGTAGACGCTTTTGGCTGTCAGTGCTGCGTTGCAGGCGCTGGCTTATGGACACTTTCAGTCGGCGGTGCGGGTAATACTTGCAGTCGCTTCTGGGCGGCGTTTTTGGGGTTTGCCTTCATGCGCATGTGGGCGTTTGTTGGGCGGCAGTGTTTAATGGGCACTCCTTTCATGGGCGCTTGTGGGCGCACGTGGGCGGAAGTGGTGCGTGCGTTCTCCACGAGTGTGCATGTGGGCGCTTGTGGGTGCTCCCGCCTCTCTCTTTGGCGGGTGCTTGCGGGGCTGCAGAAAGGTGCAAGATGTTCTGCGTGGATGTCAGCAGTGGTAAAGATGATGACGGAGCTCAGCGCGATTCCAACGTTTACGTTCGGATGTTTAGATGTTGCAGTCATCAGTGCCAGAGTAAACGCTTGAATGTGTGTTCACGTCGGCATGTTCTTCAGACGCGCTGAACCAGCCTCGACTTTGCGAGGGACACGGCAGCGCTTGGGCAGGTTTCGGATCTGGGTGAAGACAAGCCAAGGCCCCACATGAAGTTTGCTGGTAGACTTTTGTCTTCGGCTGGAAGAGCAACCCAGGTACAAGCTTTCAACGAGAACACCCCCAATTCGGGTGTGGCGTGGCTGGATGCACAACATATCGAGACGAGCAGCAGGGACGGTGAACTCGCGGTTTGGCAAAAACAAGGCTTTGATTGGCAAGTGGTGCGCCAGCGCAACATAAGCCCGGCAGGACTTGCCGCGCTCGCATTTTCGCCGAACAGACAGCACTTGGTCGTGGGTCTGAAGAATACGTCGCTGCAATTCTGGACCCTGGAAGACTCCTCCGGATGGCAGTTGCAGCAGACCCTGGCAGGCATGAAGCTCATGTTCCGGATACACTGGCGCCAGGATGGGCAACAAGTGCTGGTGGCAAGTAGTAAGCTCAACACATGCCTCATTTTCGGAGCCTCAAACTCAGGCTGGGAGCTACAGCAGGAACTGCCGCAGTGCAAAGCATATGCTTGCCTATGGCTGAGCAGCGCTGTCTTGGCGATGAGCAATCTGGCTGCGAAGGCTGTGCAGATTTGGCACAATGTGTCAGGTAAGCTTCAAGTGAACCAAAGCAAGAGCTGCAGACATCTTGTGGAAGCTTTGGCCCTATCATCGCATGAGCAACTGGCCGCCCCTTGCAACGACACAGTTCTGCTTCGAAGCGCATCAGGGGTATGGCGATCTGCCGAAGATGTGTGGAAGCAAGCCAAAGCTTTAAGGATGGCCTGGTCACCCGATGGCAGGATGCTGGGAGCCTACGTAAAGCGAGGTGAGAGGATGACGATGGACATTTGGCATCTTCGCCAAAGAGCGTTTACGGAACAGCCAAAATGTGACAGCCTTGTTTAGCTTGGAGGTTCTTAATCCGTCCCCCTTGACCACTGAAAAAAGGGGGCAAATCGGTGCATATCCGCAAAGGTTGGGAGGAACGTGCGAAAGAATAGGAGCATGTGTTGTTAATCAACTGAAACAACTTAGCAAAACGGGGACTGCATGCATGCAGATGCCGGGGCAATCCTTGTTGGGGAGAAGTAGGCTCGCACAGGCTTTTCGCGAAGGCTGTTGTCTCACCCCTTGCATACCTAGGCCTTTTCTAGCAGTCAGCTTGGAGACTTGTGGATTTGCATTGTAATTGATCTTTGCAATTCTCGAGCTGGAGCTGCCGAAGTGTACTGTGCATATTTTCTCTTGAACAGAACTTCTGCCTGCGGTGGCATCCGCATACCTGAAAGACGACTCACGCCCGCCTAGACACCTTTGCAGAGTAGCAGCGTGCAAGTAGCGTATTGGCCATGAAACAGCTAATTTGGAATTGCACACTCGGCTGTAGCAGCAATAGAGCGCCTGATCTCACAGCTCTTGGCCCTTTGAGCGTGCGCCGCTGATCAGTCAGCTCCTTTGGAAGAAACCTTTTCAAACGACTTACTTACGCGCCAAAAGGCAACTCGGTGGGTTTCCCACCTCCACCTGACCTTCGTTCCGCGGCAGTGCGCTCTTAGAACAAGTTCACTACAAAAGCTGGCCGCACGTTTCCCCGACCCCTCCTGGCGCCTTTGATTGAGCCCTAAGCGTTGAGGTCCAAAAAAGGCTTGGCGCGTGAAAATAGGAAGCCAGGTTCTGCCTTCCTTTGAGGAAGCCCCAAAAATAGTCTTTGTTCCCTTTGGTTTCTTTGTTATGGAACCCCAGAAAAAATACCGAGCCTCAAAACATGACACACCCATGGCGTGATGAGCGGCCTAAGGTAGGGCTGCGTCCCCGCCGCCCTTTGTGGGGCAGTTAAAAGGCAAGTTGTCTTTACCTTGAGTTCCGAAAAGTGCTAGAAAGGGGTTTAGGGGTTCTGCAAACTCCCATGAGTGCGGTCAAAGGTATGTGAACGACTCTCTTGTGACGAAGCCGCTGGCCAACGATGTCACATCGTGTACCTCTATGGCCTGGTCACAGGACCATGATTGACCAAGATTTGGTAGCAGGATCAGTTTTCGGCACTTCATTTGTGTCACTGAAAGGTGATTTTTGCCACGCGCAGGACTCCACCACCCTGGCGGCGGTCTTTACCGGCGGCAAAACCCGCATCTTGAAAGGCTCCAACTTGCTGAATCCCCTAGGCGCCTGGTGCCGGGGGAAGGGGGCGGTACAGATTTAATTGTTTTCTTCCAAAACTGTTTCCAAAGCTTGGAACAAGACAATGTCAAGCGGAAATCGGAAATTGGAAAAGGACCCCCTTCACCGAAAAGGACAATGCCAAGCGGAAATCGGAAATTGGAAAAGGACCCCCTTCACCGAAACGGCGAATGGGGCCCCTAGTTTTGACACTCAATGAATAGGATCTAAACCTGCCTTGTCTTGTGGGGTAACTTGTTTGGTTATTTTTTGGGCCTGCGGCCTCTAGCCGGCTACGCCTCTTTGAAGTTATACCATGTCATGTCATGTTTTTGTATGAGAAACGTATCCTGTGCTATGCTATGGCTGGTTAGGTTATGCATGTTGCCCACCCCAACCCCAGATGATGCCGGGGATGCCAGCTTTCTGGGCCCCAGCCAGGCCCCAACCCAGAAGGCTGACACGGGGTCGCGCGCGCGCGCCAGAGGCCCCAGAAACAGCAGCCCAAAACGAACAGCCCGCAAGCCAGCCCGAAAACGCAAATGCAACAAACCACTGTAAATAGCAGCGTTTTGTGGCTGGGGGCGCCCGCGCGCGCGCCAGAAGGCCCGCACAGCACGGGTCCGCGCAGCACGCGGAAAAAGCAAGGACCGCGCAGCACGCGAGCCAGCAACAGCAAAGCGGACAGAACAGCAGCCCAACACTCAGCACAGCAGTTTTTGGCGTAGAGCGAGGACCCCCCGTCAGCCAAAATGCGCAAACATGAGCCTCGCTTATATCCCTTTGATACCTTCTAAAAATCAGTGCTTCAGGAAGGAAGTCTTGATGATGCAGACCAAGCCGCGCTGAAGCATCACCCAGGCCCAACCCCAGACCCTGACAATGTCAGCCACATGGCCTTAACCCTGTTTTGCAAGGGTTTCCCACAGGCAAGCAAAACCGCAAGCTCGAGCTGGTGATGCAGAGGTGCCGGATTTAGGCAGCACATCACGACCAAGTGGCGAAGGTCGGCGGCCCCAAGGGTGCAGCCCCTATAGATAAAGCTAGCAGGCTAATTGCCTAGCGGCGACATGCTACCCCAGGAGGCGTAGCCGGATTTACACGCTGACGCGACACAGCCGGCCACCGGGCACCCCTTCCCGTTCTTTCATTTCCTTTCCCTCTTCTCGGTTCCTCTCCGGTGCCCTCTTCATTTTCGTGCAATTCCTTTGACTTTCACTTCGTTCACTTCCACTCACTCCTGTTTCCTTGCATTTCCCCTTCAGCCCCTTGTTTCGCATCGCCAGCATGCATAGCATCATCCGCATCATCCGGGATGATGCTGGCAGTGCTGGGGGTGTAGTCCAGTATTAGGCACCCCCTACTCGTTTTTGGACTCTTTTTTGGACGCTGCGGGGAGATGCTACAGAAGTTCTCGGAAATCGCCTAAGCCAATCCGCGAATCCTTCGCCCCTTACAAGGGTGGCACAACAAAACGTATGCGCATGGTCGGCGCATGGTCGGCGGCATGGATGGCCTTGTACCTGAAGGTAAGCCCTCCGGGCTAGGCCTGCGGCCCGATCACGTCCGGTGGCCGGATTTACACGCTGACGCGAGACGCGACAGATGGCCACCCCTTCCCGTTCTTTCATTTCCTTTTCCTCCAAGCCCCGTCAGTTCTCGGGATGATTTGAACTTTACTTCCTTTGCATGTCTTCCCTGACAGTTTCCTGGCATGTCCCTTCATTGCTTCACTGCCGTTTCAGCTCCCTTCATTTCCTTGAAGACTCCTTTATTGGCATTCCTTTCCCTTTTCGTTGTCCGGTTCCCTGCACGTTCTGCCCTTGCATTTTGTTCTTTTTCATCCCTTCATTTCTCTTCAGTTTCTCTTCGTTTCCTATAATTTCCAACACCGGTTCCCTTCGCGTTCGGCCCTTGCATTTTCTTGCATTTTGGTTTCTCTCCAGCGCCCTCTTCATTCCGTTTCAGCCCTTGTTTCACATCGCCAGCATGCATAACATCATCCGCATCATCCGGAATGATGCTGGCATTGCTGGGGGTGTGGTCCAGTATTCCCCCCAAAAACGCTCGTTCTTGGACGCCACGAGGAGATGGTACAAAAATCACCTAAACCAATCCGCAACCCTTCGCCCCTTATAAGGGCGGGCCCAGCGCAAAACGTATGCTCATGTTCTGCGCATGGTCGGCGGCATGGGGCGGACGGCCTTAAGCCCTCCGGGCTAGGCCTGCGGCCTAGGCCTGCGGCCCGATCACGTCCGGTGGCCGGATTTAAGGGCTTACGCCTGACAGCCGGGCGCCGGCAGACAAAAAGCAGTCTGCCAGCAAGTTCGAAGCACCTTCCAGAAACGCCACTAAAATCATTGAGTATCCACGTGTTTTCATGATTTTCGCAACAACGTGTCCTTGAATCCATACAAAACCAGGGTTCGGCCGGGGCTGACTGCTAAGCAGGTTTCCACATGTTCCGCGTTTGCGCCCGGCCAAGAATCCATACAAAACTATCGAAAACACTGTCTTTTTGTCGGCTTCACCGAAAATCCTGCCAAAAATCGAGTTCGGCCGGGACCACAGGTTTCCATATTTTCCAGGTTTGCACCCAACACTGTGTTTTTCCACGTGTTCGGCAATGTCCGCCATGGATGCGGATGATGCAGGTGATACGCTCAAAAAGTCGTCAAAAATTGCCTGAACAAAATCCGCAAATCCTCCGCCCCTTAGCAGTGAAGGCGCAGCCTCCGTTCGACACGGAGTGAAACCGGAATCGACCGGGAGTGAACCGGAATCGACCGCGAGTGAACCGGAATCGACCGGGGGTGGTCGGCGGCAGCCTTATAACCTTCGGTTAAGGGAACTGAAGGCCTGCGGGGAAAGCGCGGGCTCGCCTGCCCGGCCCCGGATTTGAGGGCTTACGCCTGACAGCCGGGCGCCGGCAGACAAAAAGCATGGCACAACGCAGGGTCTGCCAGCAAGTTCGAAGCACCTTCCAGAAACGCCACTAAAAACATTGAGTATCCACGTGTTTTCATGATTTTCGCAACAACGTGTCCTTGAATCCATACAAAACCATCAAAAACACTTGGTTTTTTCTACTTGTTCACCGAAAACCCTGCCAGGAATCGGGTTCGGCCGGGGAGAGTTGAGCCCTGCCTGCTAAGTAGGTTTCCACATGTTCCGCGTTTGCGCTTGGCCTAGAATCCATACAAAACTATCGAAGACACTGTCTTTTTGTTGGGTTCACCGAAAATCCTGCCAAAAATCGAGTTCGGCCGGGACCGTTGAGGCCTGCCTGCTAGGCAGGTTTCCATATTTTCCAGGTTTGCGCCCGCCAAAAACCTTTAAAAACAACACTGTGTTTTTCCACGTGTTCGGCAAAATTGGCCCGACTTAGGGGGCAACATCCCCAGCATCCCGGCATTATCCGCAGCAATGTCCGCGGATGATGCAGGTGATATGCTCAAAAAGTCGCCTGAACAAAATCCGCAAATCCTCCGCCCCTTAGCAGTGAAGGCGCAGCCTCCGTTCGACGCGGAGTGAACCGGACTCGACCGGGAGTGAATCGACCGGGAGTGAACCGGGAGTGAGCCGGAATCGACCGGGGGTGGTTGGCGGCAGGGGGCGTGAGCCTTATAACCTTCGGTTAAGGGAGCCGAAGGCCTCCGGGGAAAGCACGGGCTCGCCTGCCCAGCGCCCGGATTTAAGGGCTTACGCCTGACAGCCGGGCGCCACTAAAAGCATGAGTTAGTTGCCCACGTGTTTTCATGGTTTTCGCAACAACGTGTCCTTGAATCCATACAAAACCATCAAAAACACTTGGTTTTTTCTACTTGTTCACCGAAAACCTTGCAAGGAATCGGGCTCGGCCGGGGAGTTGAGCCCTGCCTGCTAAGCAGGTTTCCACATTTTCCGCGTTTGCGCGCGGCCGTGAATGCATACAAAACTATCGAAAGCACAGTGTTTTTTCTGCGGTTCACCGAAAACCCTACCAAAAATCGAGTTTGGCCGGGACCGTTGAAACCTGCCTGCTAGGCAGGTTTCCATATTTCCAGGTTTGCACCGCCAAAAACCTTTAAAAACGACACTGTATTTTTGCACGTGTTCGGGAAAATTTGCCCGACTTAGGGAACACCAAGCATCCCCCGCATCACCGGCATTATCCCCAGCATCCCGCATCACCGGCATTATCCGCATCAATGTCCGCCATGGATGCGGACGATGCAGGTGACATGCTCAGCAAGGCGTCAAAACTCGCCTGAACAAATGCACAAGTCCTTCGCCCCTTGGCAGTGAAGAACCGAAATCGACCGGGAGTGAACCGGGAGTGAACCGGAATCGACCGAGCCTATAACCTTCGGTTAAGGGAACCGAAGGCCTCCGTGCGGGGAAACCACGGGCTTGTGGCGCCCGGATTTAAGGGCTTACGCCTGACAGCCGGGCGTTACTAAAAGCATGAGTTTTCCACGTGTTTTCATGGTTTTCGCAACAACGCGTCCTTGAATCCATACAAAACAAAATCACATGTTTTTCTACTTGTTCACCAAAAACCCTGCCAGAAATCGGGCTCGGCCGGGGAGAGTTGAGCCCTGCCTGCTAAGCAGGTTTCCACATGTTCCGCGTTTGCGCCCGGCCAAGAATCCATACAAAACTATCGAAGACACTGTCTTTTTGTTGGGTTCACCAAAAATCCTGCCAAAAATCGAGTTCGCGTTGAGGCCTGCCTGCTAGGCAGGTTTCCATATTTTCCAGGTTTGCACCCGCCAAAAACCTTTAAAAACAACTGTGTTTTTCCACGTGTTCGGCAATGTCCGCCATGGATGCGGATGATGCAGGTGATGTGCTCAAAAAGTCGTCAAAAATCGCTTGAACAAATCCGCAAATCCTTCGCCCCTTAGCAGTGAAGGCGCAGCCTCCGTTCGACACGGAGTGAAACCGGAATCGACCGGGAGTGAACCGCGAGAACCGGAATCGACCGGGGGTGGTCGGCGGCAGGGGGCGCGAGCCTTGTAAC